TAGACCCACTCGCTCCGACTTTTCTGATAGTAAAGCTAGACGAAAATTACTTTCGGATACCGACGTCCTTGAGCATGTTCATGATGAAAGAGCCAGGCCCGCCCGGCGAAGGGTCATCGAGCAGTCAAACGGCCACTGCGAAGACGGATCCACCTGCGAAGCCGAACTCGCCTATGGAGATAGAAAAGGACAACAGCGGTGATCAATCCGAGGACTTGGACGACGCTCCGCTGGACTTCAGGAAAAAGCAGGAGGAGGAGCAGAACATGTCGCAGAGCGAGGAGCGGAACGCGTCGCAGAGCGAGGAGAAGAACAAGTCGCAGAGCGAGGAGCCTCCCAAGAAGAAGCACATCTGCGAAATCTGTTACGCGTCGTTCGACCGGAAGAGCAAGCACACCAGGCACATGTACAAGCACAGCAACTCGAGGCCGCATAAATGTGCGATCTGCTCGAAAGGGTTCAAGACCAGCGCCCACCTGGCCAGACACATGGAGATCCACGACGAGCCGGTCACCTGGCACACGTGCAGCCTCTGCGACTTCAAGGCCCGCACCAAGCCGTACCTGAAGATCCACTACATCAGGAAGCACACCGAGGACTACAACTACAAGTGCGAGCAATGCGGCAAGATGTTCAAGGTGCAGTCGGACTACACGACGCACGTCAAGGATCACGACACTGAGTCCTGCGTCTGCGACATCTGCGGATCCTTTTATCCCAGCAAGAGCTCGCTCTACTTCCACAAATACTACAAGCACAAGGCGAAGATGAAGAAATTCCAGTGTCTGACCTGCAAGAAGAAGTTCAAGAGCCAGAAGAACCTGGACAGCCACGTGGAGCTGCACAAGATCAAGTACGTGTGCGAGCAGTGCGGCATGGAGTTCAAGACCAAGTACGGGCTGACCAAGCACCTCAGAACGCATTCCGGCGAGAAGTCCTATCTGTGCGCGATTTGCGGGAAAACCTTCGGTTGCCTCAGCTCGCAGAAGATCCACCTGTTGACCCACGTGGGCGAACGGCCTTACGTTTGCGACATCTGCGGACAGAGCTTCACGCAGAGATCCCCGATGATGTTGCACCGCAGGAAGCATCCCGGCGTTCATCCTCGCCCTCCGCCTATTAAGATCACTAACCTGCTTCACGGGGTGCAGGACAAGATCATTGTGAACAAGAGCAGCAAGTAAAAGTGAATTGGGATCGGACAGATTTTTATACGTTTCTTTGTCGGTGTGATTTGTTGCACGGGGCGGGGAGAGTGTTCAGGGACGTCCGTTCGTTGGAACCAGTCGCGGAACAATCGAGTGTGACGTTGAGTTGTTGAATATTGAACGCGTTTAGAACGGTTTTCGTTGTTTTCTTTTTTGTTGTGCGCGTATGGTGGACCATGCGAAAGTGATACGCTTTGTTCTCGCCGAACTGCGTGGTACACGTAAGGTTTCTCGGCGAACTTCATTGATTCGGTTAAGGGTCTCGGAGAGGACGGTTCGAAAAGCTGGATTCCGTTCTTGACGCTTTATAGGGGAATTTGATTTCGAGATACGATTGCGGAGTAACGTCGATTGTTAAGTTGGATGTTGTCGTTTCGAGCGAGGTGTCGCGGTTTTTTTGTTAATTTTAATTTTATACACGTATTCAGTGATACGATCGCGTCGAGGAATTCTGCATTGAATTTACCAGATTTTGTTTTTATTTCTCAGTTTCATGGACGTCGATTTGTAACGTGAATTTGAGAAATTTTGCGACGCTACTGAAATACTGATGGGTTAGTCATTATATTTAGTCTGATCATCGTGCCCATTTTAGTTCAATTGTCGGAATCAAGCGAAGTGAGCATTGCCGGAAATTTTTAGAATTGTACTATCTGCATTTCTTTTTTTTAAAGGGGAAGCGAGTTTAGTAACTTACGAGGTGAAACCAGTTTCTTGTAAATATGTATAATTTCCTTCGAAATGTATCATTTCGCTTGACGGCTAATAGTACGTGTCGAATACCTAGCAACGCTAGGAAGAAACATAATGTAACGATATGTTTCATTCATTTCTAAGTCTTCCACTTAATTTACTTTACTTGTTGTTGTCACAAAATGAATCGTCAGTGAGCGTTCAATTCATTTTGTTTCGGTTTCTGAATCGACAAATCTCGAGTTGGTTACTTTTGTAAGCTTTAATGGCTGCCGAAAGCATGTTCGTTAAAAGATAATGAAATTATTTTTTCCGTAACGGTTTTCTCGAGGAAGTTAATAGATAGGATTAGAAATTCTGTTTAAAGCGAATTGGTGATAGTTAGATATTACGTTACGCTCCGATGGGACAGGATGATAATTTGTAAACCGATCTGAAAAATAACAGCTTTTATATATAGGTATACATCAGTGTAAGGATAATATAGAAATGTAATATAAATATTCATATTCTTACGGAGAAAAGTTTATATCGCCTGTAAATTTGAAGAAAGAAATATATATGTATATACACATACACAATATTACATAGAACATTTTAGTTCTTGCGCGCTGTGTCGTTAACACTGTACGAAGGAAACGTGTATCTGTTCGATCATAAACAATCATCGAAACTGAAACACCAATTGGCGAAGCACGGCTTCTTCGGATTCTTCTCACCATCGGTACAAAAATTTGTCAACAACCCACGAATTAAATTCTCGATGTTCAGATTTCACGGATGCAAAGATGTAACCGATGCTCTAAGACACAGCAAAAACGAAAAGAAACTAATTAAAAAACATGTCCATCGACCAATGTAAATCCTCGTTCGAATAAACATCCCTCGAACACCAAGCGGACACATAATTAACAAACCTTCTTTTTTATTTTTAGATCGAGAAGCGTCAACCACCCAAAAAGCTCTCGAATGATGCCGCGAAGCATCAGCAAAAACCCTCCTCCAATGAATCAGGTGCAACAACGTATACCTGAGGTGACACTTAAACCCGAATTTCCAATGGAAATCTTTCACAAAGGTTCAACCGAAAACGATTTCTACGAGACGAGTCAAACTGAAAAAGAATCTCAACGTGAACCCGAAACGCTTCGATCATCGTATTTTCCAGAATTCTCCACAACATTGTTCCCATCACTGACTGCAACAATGAGTCAAGGATTACAAGAACTAATTCAACCAGCAGCCATTCGTCAACAGGACAGAAACAGAAACGCTATCCGCTACAACGCGCTCTTTGCGATAAGAGATTCGGGAAGGTGACGCAGAAACACGTGGAATCGCGCATTCTTCGGTCGAAAAACGGACACGTATGCTAAGTGTAAACGCGTATTCAAGACGAAAAAGTTGGGAACACCAGAGTCGACTGCATTCGAAAGCATATGCCTTATTTCACGTTGAAATGCCACTATTATCCGAAAGTGTTCAACTTGCGCACGGACCTGAGGAAACACGAGCGCATCTACACGACCAGGTTATCGCGAGAACTGCAAGAGGACGTTCTGCAGTGAATACTCGCATTTATTGCACAAAGTTCTCGACATGTCGAAGACGTATCCGGAGAAGCCGAAGAGGAAGTACACGAAGACGAAGAAGCTCGCTGCGACGACTTACTAGAAGCGGGAGTTCCTGCGTAACATTTCTTTCCTTACCTTTTCATGACTTTGTGACGTTACTAAATGCATTTGTGTTTCATTGAATTCTTTCTTGTATCGTTTTCTGTGAGTTAAGACGAAATTTGTTGTCTGTTTTTTTTATTTTGTGGGTAACGTTTGAATGAAAATGTTTCAATGATGATGATCACTGATGTACATGTTCGTTTATTTTGTGTATGCCTTGCATTTGAGTATTCTTGGCTGGAAAAGTAACGAGGATTAACGAATATGTGATTAGTACTTTATGCTCAGGTAGTACTGTGAATATTGATGAATTCTTTTACGTGATGTCAAATTTGAGACGTTCTGGATTATGTTTTTTAGTAGAGTTCTCTGTGTGTTATATGAACGATTGAAGGAATTGGATTGAATAACTTGATCGAATTGAAATATTATTTTGTCTTCGTGCGAAGTTAATAATTTTGTACGACGTTTCTATTTATTTGTGTTACGTGCGAAATATTCTTGGGAATGTTGTGTCTGGAATGTATTATTTATTCGACCTCGAATGAAATGTCTAGTTTCAGAGTATTAGTATTTAAGTACAAAGTGATATTTAATAGGAATGAAATATGGCGTTTGATAGTTTTTTAATGAAATTTTTTGTACAAGAGAAAATAAACTATGTTTCATTGATCCTACAAGGGATGATTGTTACCTCCGACGTTACACGAAGTGTTGATTTTGTGCCATGAGTGTTTCATTGTCAGTTCTCGCAAGTTCTTGCTGTGACGTTATACATCAATGTAAGTATTACTACCTGACATGGAACGATACGCCAGAAATGTATATTATTCTTCGGTTTTCCAGGTCGACGTTCTCCAAGTTGCCACTTTTGCGTCTTATCGTAAACACTGAACATGTACGTACAAAATATATCAATGTCATTTAATTAGCAATTAAGAGATGCAGTGAAATCTACATTTTCGATAATGCTTTTATTTTTAATTAAGTCCAGCGAGATAAATAGATTTCGAAATATCATAGGGGAAGTTAATGAGTAGCGCTTAAGATTTCAAGTGACACGGAAAAGTGTATACATGAATCTTCATCCGTCTTTTTTAATTGACCACCGTAGGTGTACTACAATCGTATGCAATTCATTTATTTGTAAATGCATCAGCTGTAATTTTCTTTACTTAGAGCGTACATCTGTAAAATTTTGATTTCCCATACGAAGAAGAGAAAAAGGTCCTTCCGTGCTATTTAAAGTATACTTCCGGCTGTTTAGGTTGCAGACAACGAAGAAGAGGAAGATGAGACGAAGAGTTCTAGTCAAAACATCGGCGACCCTGCCGGGTTCATTGTCAAGAAAATCGAAAAATAACACTATAAAGAGATCGAGAGAGAAATTGGAGCAAAAAGAGAACAAGAACTACGAAGAGACGGTGAAGCTCGAGAAAGTCTATTGCGATCTCTGTAAAACTACGGTCTTCGAGCGAAATTACAAGAAACATTTGTTACGACATAGTTTCAAGGATCACCAGTGCGATGTATGCTCCAAGAAGTATAAGCACAAAAGAGCATTAACAAAACATAAGCTGACTATACATGGAAACGCGCCTGTACACAATTGTCAATATTGTGACTTCACGACGGTGCACTTTTCCTACCTGCAGGTGAGTCCATATTTCCAATTGCTTTTATTAGTAATTTAGTTTCCTTGTGACGTCACCGATTCAAATATGTATCGTAGTCACTGCGCTCCGAATAATATAAATAAATTTATTATTCATTCATTTGTTATCATTCCAACTTCGAAGGAGCTGTGCAATATGCAGTTTTTATCTTTAAAAACGATTGAAGTCTACAGTCCATTAGTTAGAAATGAATCTCCATCATCGAGTGTAATAGTCAACATTCCATCACCTTCGCAAAATTGTTTACTTTTTTTTCTGGAATATTAATAGCGATGCATCACGTTAATGACATTCAATTCTGCAATTTTCATTGCAGGTGCACGTGATGCGCAAGCACAACAACACGTTTCCCTTCTCCTGCGACAAGTGCGACCGGAAATTTCGCATCAGAGCTGACTACATGAAGCACATAGTGACCCACGACGGTGAGCCATGCATCTGCGACGTGTGTGGCGCGAAGGTGCCGAACAAGATATCCCTCTATTTCCACAAGAACTACAACCACACGGTGAAAGACGCGAAGTTCCCTTGTCCGATGTGCAAGAAGAAGCTGCAGAGCCAGAAGAACCTGGACAGCCACATACAGCAGCACGGACGGAAGTTCATCTGCGAGGAGTGTGGGCTAGGCCTGACCCGGAAATCCGGCCTAAGGAAACACATCAGGACGCATTCGGGCGAGAAATCGTTCTCCTGCAACATCTGCCAGAAATCGTTCGCCAGCGCAACCAGCAGGAAAGTGCATCTTCTGACGCATTCGGGCGTCAGGCCGTACGTCTGTACCATTTGCGGGCAGAGTTTCACTCAGCGACCAGCTCTTTGTGTCCACTGGAAGAAGAAACACCCTGACGCCACTGAGTCGCTGCCGTCTGTGTCTATAACGAACATTATTCATAGTGTAACGAAAAATTTCAAGTTGGACGATGCGTGAAAAATAACGCTGGACACTTGGACACTTCGATGGGAAGAGATATAAATTGTTGACTGGAGCTGCAGCGCTTCTCGAGTTGAAAGATCGCTGTACGGTGACCCTTGATTGTGTAAGACTCGATGACTTTAAGTGGTTTAACATGAATTAATTTATGAAAGCATTTGTGCGCATGAAATAATATTTTTACGAATTCGTTGAATTTTCATGCGGTCCTCGGCACTGCTAATTACTGAGAGATTGTATTTATGATAATTATGTTGCTGGTAAGAGAAAAATTCATGCATCTGTGGATACTAACAGAGTGCGTTAATCCATGACTCGTTGTGTATGTATATTGTGGAGGAGGGAAGAATAGACTTTCATTTAATGAAAGAGTTATTGTGATTATTGTAAGAATATATGGAGATTTTTATTCAGTGAAGAAAAGAAAAGCACTCGTTGTTCAATACATTGTTGACTTGAGTTTACTTGAGATTGTGAAGCCATGTTGATTATTTTCTGCATTTAAACGTTTTCATTTTCAAATCCCTTGTATGAGCATTATCGATGAATTCGCCGACATGTTTATTTGTGTGTATTACCGAAAGAAATACTTCTTCTGGTGTTCCTTAAGGATTTTATTCAGAACCTCTAACCAGTTACTTGTGACGTAAGTTTAATTATATTTATTGGTACTATTACATTGTGCACAAGATGATTCTACAATTTTTAAAAAGAAGGGGATGCGGAAAGGAAGAATTTTACATAACAGTCATTCTACGACGAAATACATACGCGCTATTTTTCTTACTAGCTTACCTTTTATCTTTCCAAAAATAAGTAGTAATTATCTAATCACAATCAATCTAATCTAAATATGAACGTTCGATCAGAAGTTTCAACGCGAGCGTGGAATAACATGTACCCAGACCGACACGAAATAAATCCAATTTGCTGACTCGTTTCATTAATGTTTTAGGAAATCAGCGCAGCATTTAAATCAGAGGAATAACCATACCGCTGACAAGCAAGTTAAAGAAACTAAAATTCCACGCAAGACACCGAACATTCATCAAAGGAGACTAGCATTCCGAATCTCAAAGAAACGGAAACGCAGTGGCAACAACCGTCCATCGGACTCTTGCGAAGATGAAACAGAAAATTCCTCGCCGAGTTGTTCAAATTTTCCAGAGGAGAATCTGATTCTTAACGAGAGAATGCGGAAAGTCTCTATACACCAGAAAACAATTATAAACACAAGGAACAACGGAATAACAAAGAACAACACAGACAAGCCACAAACCAGCGAGAAACCTGGACAACAGGAAGACCTTTACAAGAAACTCCACGACGGTACCTACACCTGCGACATTTGCCAAACGGTGTTCGAGCAGAAGAGCAAAATCCTTCGTCACATCACCAGCAAGCACAGCTTCCACAGACCCTTCAAGTGTGCAGCCTGCGACAAAACGTTCAAGTACAAATGCGACTTGAAGGCCCACAGACTGGTCCACCAAGACATCGACTCCAGTCTGCTTCACTGCTGCGATAAATGCGATTATCGAACGAAAACGAAGAACAACCTTAAGTCTCATTACATTAGACGTCATACGGATGACTATAAATTCGCCTGTGAACATTGCGGCAAGCGATTTAAAATGGAATGGGACTTGAAGTTCCATATAGGTACGCACGGCGCTTCACAGCACATGTGCGACGTCTGCGGGAAATTTTACACGAGCAACTACTCTTTGTACAAGCACAGGAAGGTGGCTCATTTGAATGAGTATAAGTTCCAGTGTAATGTTTGTAACAAGAGGCTTTTGACTCAAGAGAATCTGGACAATCATATGAAGCAACACAGTAGAACGTACGAATGTAAAGACTGTGGGAAAGTGTTCGCGTCGAAGAGGTACTTAGCTACTCATATGACCACTCATACAGGCGTCAAGCCGTATACTTGCCATGTTTGCAAAAAGAATTTCCGAACCTCGCACATGAGGAACACACATCTACTGACGCATTCGTCGGAGAGGCCACATATCTGTGATCTTTGTGGGCAGTCGTTCAAAAGAAGATATTACATGATCGAGCATAGAAGGAAGCATCCCGATGCTCATTTATCATCGCCTCCTATGCCTCTTGGAAAAAATAAGAGCTCCATTGAGACGGACAATGCAACTGAACAAACGGATATTTCATAGTAATCCTGTGAAATTAGATTTTAAGCACGCTTTGTGATTACGGTTTTCGTACTTACAAACAATGTACAATTGCATCTCTTTCGAGTTATGGGACAGGTTTCTGATCTGTAAGACTAAACTGAGCTTATTTTAAATTATTGGTATTATTTATAAGGATACAAGAAAATTTCTGAATGTTGATGCGAAAGGATATTCCCTTGCAGTATTATAATTTTTGTAGATCATACAGTTATAGATTTGATAAGAATGTAAAGGAATAGTATTAAGATTTTTTAATTTCTATATTTGATTAATTTTAATATTTCCATTGAAATCGAGATATTTTCTTGTATCGGAAGAAGTCTCTCCGATATATTTTAAGAACAATATAACGATGAAAATTGATATATAAAGAAAAAGCATATCGTAGAATTAAAAAAGCGCAGTATTTTATTCTTAGCAACTTGCGGAATACGATGTACTTAGTTTTTAATACTCGACTGTCGACCGATATTTCGTAAAACGATGCCATAATATTTATATTTATATTTCTGTCGTACTGTTCCTACGAACACCGTTATATTTTTATTTTCGTTAATTTACCAATCATTTTTCTATTTTGTACAATTTTACATAAACTATTTCCATAATGTGTATTCTTGGTATTCACAAATCACTGATATTTCCCCGGATTTTATTCGGATCTCATATAAAAGGCAAACACACGAAAGCAACAATAAAATCTACAACACGCTAACATGCAGTGCAGAATAAAATACCGAACACAGACCTAAATCTGTAAACATGTATTTCAAATATCTGTAAAGACGTCTTAGAGCCGGAGTAAGTAACCTCTGTGTACCCAGTTCTGATACTTTGTTCATCGAAATTAATTGTCCCTCTCCTATGTTTTAGAGAGCGGGTCGACTTCAAGGAAGTCTCAGCAGCAGACATTTCCAGTGGGTTCATCGTCGAGGCAGCAGTCTCCGCTCCGATGGAACGTCGCCAAGAAAACCAGCCCAGCGGTAATCTACATTATTCACTGATGCCCACGTCGAAAGAGGCAAAAGACACCGAACAAAGTTCCAAAACGCTTCTGTCATCCTTGAAACTGAAGGTGGACGAAGACGAACATGACGACGACCGGAAACCGATCTACAAGACGGAGCGCTGCGACACGCTGATGCAGTTGTGCGAAATGTCCATTGACTTCTACACCTGTGATAAATGCCAGCTGAAGTTCCCTACGGAGAGCATGTTGAATCGCCACAAAATGTCGCATAATCTGAACTCTTGGCTTCGCAAAAGGGGTTTGAGCAGGAAACCGATCCCTAGACCAAGATCAAAGAAACGAGTGAAACGGGTGGAGCCTCGGAAGCCTGCGGAAAAGCACAAACACACTTGCAGCTTCTGCGATTTCGGGTGCACTAGAATGTCTACGTTGACTGTTCACATCCGGAAAAAGCATAAATCGGCGTCACTCAAAGAGGAGTCACGGAAGACCAGCAATCCTTGCGAATTGGAGGCGACGAATCAACCGAATTTAAGGAAACGCAACCAGAAGCACAGGACTGTTAATAAGATAAGCTTCGAATGCGACTTGTGCGACTTCACTTGCAAGACGAGTAGAACTTTAGCTTCCCACGTGGTAAGGAATCATAAGTCTGAAGAGAAGAAGACTGACTCGAAGAAATCGAGAAGGGCGAAGTATGCCGAGGACTCTTTCGAAGCGCAGACCACGAAAGGAACGTGTTTGCAACAGTATAAAGAGGAACTCCAGGAGTCAACGGTTCCTTGTTCGCCTACAGAAGTCATCAGCAAAGAGGAGCCCGCAGTGACGGTTCGTGCAAGCAAGAAACAGAGCAAACAGCCGATCGAAGAGCATTGCAATCTGTGCGACTTCAAGTGCGAGAAGAAGAGCACGTTGTACTACCACAAGCGTCAGCACAAGGCGGAGGATCTCAACGAGATATTCTCGTGCAACGAGTGCACTTTCAAGACTACCAAGAAATCATCCTTGTACTCTCACATCAAACGGAAACACAGAGTGACGAAGCCCTGCACCCCGGACGGTCTGCCGGAATTGTTCTGCTGCAACCAGTGCGATTACAAGAACAAAAACAAGTACGAGCTGAAGATCCACGTCGCCAGGAAGCACACGGATGATTTCAAGTTCTCTTGCGAGACCTGTGGCAAGAAGTTCAAGGTGAAAGGGGATTTGACCAATCACATCCGTTTCAGTCACAAAGAGCAACCAGTGATTTGCGACGTTTGCGGGAAGACCTGTCTGAACAGTAATTCTCTGTACGTGCACCAGAAGTTCGCCCATTACAAAGCTAAGTACGAGTGTCAGGTGTGCAAGAGGCGAATGGTGACCCAGGAGAACCTCAATGAGCACATGATCAGGCAGCACGAGAAGAGGGAGAACGTTGTTTGCGAAGAATGTGGGAAGACGTTCTCCAGGAACAGCAGGCTGAAGGTGCACATGAGGATTCACACAGGTGATAAACCGTATAGTTGCACCATATGCAACAAGTCCTTCGCACGGAGAACAGCCTTGAAGCAACACTTGCTCATTCACACTGGGATCAGACCGTACGTCTGTGACATCTGTGGCAAGGCCTTCACGCAGAAGCCGGGACTGATCAGTCACAGAAAGTCGCATCCCGGCTCGCACCCGCCGCTTCCGAGGGTCTTGATCGATCACATATTGAACGACGTGATGAACAATTGATAAGTTCGGTGACTTAGTGGACAATGCATGGACCAACGAATTGTTTCTTGGGAGGAACGATGGGATGTAAGACTGTTTATCGTTCAAATCTAGATGGTGGAGGTTTGTTGGAATTCATCCTGACTTGGAATTTCGAAAAATGAATTTTCATTGTCCCTTCATATTCTAGTCATTTAGGAGAATGGATGTTGATAACGAGAGATTACTGTTTCCTTTCATTTGTGTATCTCATTGCCACGTATTTGGTAATGTATAAGTGGTTTCATCGGCCTCCATGCACTACTTTGTATTCAAACGATTCGAAAGCATTGTGAGACAGAGTGGAAGATGTGTTTAACGGTTGAATAGTTTAAGAATCCTTTGCGAAGAAAGATCTTTCTTCGGATAAAAGATAGTTTTTGATTTCTTATCCTCTCAAAAAGGGTAGGAAGACAAAGAAAAATTTCGTTTCGAACTTAGAGAAATATCAAGATGAATTTTGAGGACTGCGGTTCTTTCTGCAAATCTGTATTTTTATGAGAACTTTTGTCAGCTGTATTTTTCTTTTATTTTTTTAATAATTTCAGTGAATGAGGAATACAATGAATGTGTATTCTTAATAAAACTTTATTGGTATTTTAAAAGGTTTTGAGTATTATTATTAATGTTACTTGCATAAAGATCCGCAGCGTAAGAATCACAAACGTTTCTCCATGTACTATCCTGTATAATTAATTCGTATTTTCTATTCTTCTTCATTGATACTTTTAGCAGCTAAGGAAATCACTGTAAACGCAATTAGTTTACTGGTAGCTATTACGTTTAGTTCGTCCTAGTTTCTCGACTGTATTACTTCTCATAATTCGCTAGTACTGCTAATGTGCAATCACGTTCACTGAAATGTTAAGTTTCTTACAAGAAGGGTCGTTATATGCAAATCACCGTGTAGTATTCCCGCATCGATCAACAGTTTGTATCTCATTTTTAGAACCTAACGATTTTTGTTAAATTATTTGTAAAAAAAAAAATATATTGTAAACTTTCCTAGTTTATGTCGGCGTTGTTAACGTTTTCTAGAAATACAAAGACGTCTCATCTGTCGTAAATCCGCCGAGCATTGTTACTCAGTCGTTCGATTCATTTGTAACAACTGTATATACTCGCTTACTTGAAAAAAAACAATTCCAGCTTTTTCATATAATACATTCGGTATTAATTTTGGAAAGCTTCCTTAACAATAATTATCACACGAACGTGGACAGTTAATTGTTAATCACCACCAACAGCGGAAAAATGGTCGTTGATTAAAAAGATTACAGCATGCATAGGTGGTCTCCACTGGGAACGAAACGATCAAAGTTCATATAAGTAGAAGAGTAATCCGTCAAAAATTTCCAGTTACAGATCATGTACACGCAAAAGGGACGGCAAATCGTCAAACAAAACCAAATCTTCCTTCTAACCACTGGTCCGTGATGTGTAATATAATACCTAACTGACTGTTCTGTGATTTTCAGGACGCTAAACGGGGACGGACATTTTATATACGGGAAGGAATCGATACCGATGCAACCGTGGCAAATCGTCGACGTCGAAGGTTGCCTCTACTATGCCTTCCTTCCAACGAGTCAGTCCCTGAAGCTCTCAGAGCAGGAAAAGCTCGGGCCAAAGTCAGCAGCAGAGTTACTGAAGCTAGCCATGGACGACTCCAAAGAACCCTTCATAATCCCAGCCGAGGAAGAAGTGTCGCGCGCCACGAGTTATTTCAACAGAATAAAGGTGAAATCCGAAGACGACAACTCATCCCCGAACGAGGATCATCACCACGACGTCTCTTCCTCGAACGATCATCAGAACGACGTCTCATCCTTGACCGAAGACCACCAGATCGACGCCTCCTCGTTGAACGAAGATCACCAGAACGACTCATCGCTGAACGAAGATCACCAAAACATCCCTTCGTTGAACGAGGACCACCAGACCGACGACAAAGTCTACGTCTGCGAGGAGTGCAACATATGCTTCCCAGTGGCACAAATGCTGAAGCGTCATCGGAACGCGGTGCACGATCAGGCCCAGCGATACAAGTGCAAGGTATGCTTCAAGATCTGTCGCAGCCTGGTCGCCTTCAAGATGCACGTGGCGCTGGAGCACAAAACCGAGGAGCAGGAGCTGAAAGATGAGAACAGTCTGACGTACGCGTGCAACTTCTGCAGCTACGAGAGCACCAACAAATCCACCCTCCACTCGCACATCAGCAGGAAGCACCCGGTGAAGCACATAGGCAGGAGGAAGAACAGCTACAGATACACAGCTGAGCCTGAAGAGTATTCCTGTGACGTCTGCGAATTCAAGTGCCAAAACAGGCGCAGGCTGAAGGAGCATCTCGAAAGGAAGCACGCGTCCGAGTACAAGTACGACTGCGAGTACTGCGGGAAGAAGTTCAAAGTGAAGGGCGATATGAGGCTACACGTCAGGTTCAAGCATAAGGAGGGTCCCATCGTTTGCGACGTTTGCGGTAAGACCTGCTCCAACAGCAACTCGCTGTACGTTCATCAGAAGTGGGCGCACTTCAAGCCCAAGTACGAGTGCGAGATCTGCAAGAGGCGGATGGTCACGCAGGAGAATCTCGATCAGCACATACTCCTTCAGCACGAAAGGCGCGAGAGCTTCGTATGCGAGGAGTGCGGTAAATCGTTCACGGAGAATCACCGGCTGAAGCAGCACATGATGACGCACACCGGGGACAGGCCGTACGATTGCCACATCTGCGGCAAAGCGTTCGCGCGTCGCACAGCTTATAGGCAACACTTGCTCATCCACACGGGCAAACGTCCGTACATCTGTGATATTTGCGGCAAGACGTTCACGCAGAAGCCTGGACTGATCTGTCACCGGAAGTCGCATCCCGGCGTGCACCCGCCGCTGCCGGTGGTCCACATCGAGCACATTCTCAGTGACTTCATGAAGAAGAAATGATCGTGTCGCGAGATCACAGTAATGCCTTTCTAGTTGTCCAACGTTTGGATCGTTGAGATTAGAACTTACGTCTTCGTTGACGACGTTGCCGGTAACTGAGCCTTACCGGATGATCTCGTGATTCATTTGTAAATGATTGTTTAAGTTTGCGCTGTCGAGGGAGAAATTAGTGGAATGAACTTTTGCATTTGGTTTTCTTTCGAAGAGTCTCTTAATCGGTGAATGTAAATTGTACATTATGTAGTACTGTACGTATGATAATGATACCGTAGTACGTATAAGATAGTATTTAGATTTCAATTAAGGAATCTTTATTGTTTCATTGATAGTATACACCTAAACGGATTAGTTGGTAACACGAAGATTTTTAGTTTCGTCGGTTTACAGTTTACCTTTACGATTGTACGATTCTTTTGGTTCTTTGAACGATGCCATTCAAACGTGAGATTAAATGCTCTGCTTCCCTTGTTGCTCACCGTTGATTCCAAGTCATGAGCTACTACAGAGGCATTACTCTTCCACTCAGGCGTGCGTGAAATGGACTTTCAGTGGTGCTCGTTTAAAGCACAGCTTTTCCATGACTTCGACGACGAAGAATTCTTGATTATTAGAATGGTTTATGTATGACATTGTCATAAGGAAGTAGTCGTCTTCCTAAGGTTCGTTATAAGGATAATGTTCTTTTCTTTACATTCGGAATGCGTGTCTCGATGAACATATGAAAAATATTCAATAAGTACGAGGCGGACGAATATTTGCCGTGATTATTTTTCATGGAATACCATGTAGTTACGATTATTTAATTTTTTTTTATTTCATTACTTTACGGTGTCCTTTTCAAGTTATTCCGAAGAATTTCCTTATGCTAGTTCACACGCACACATACTTGCGTCGATGGAAAGTAATTTTCATACGATTGCAGCTAACGACCGAGTTCAACCGAATTTTCAATGTAAAAAGAAAACGAATTACGTAGTATAGCTAGCGTGACTTAAAATTCACTGTAATGTATATATATATATTGTATACAGGGAGAGATTAGAGGCGAGATATTTTGATCACGAAACTTTTCGAGGATAGAATATTTTTATTGGAATATTGTTTAATTAAACGTTCTCACATTCAGTTGTCGACAATAGCTCGAGATAAAACGATTTGTGATGCCAACGAACATATACCAATCTCTGTAATATAATTAATTCCAGAAATCGAACGGATCACATTTTTCTTTCTAGCGCCCTAGAAAACCAATAAAAACAGTTAGCCTTATCATTATTGAAATGCAATGTTTTCCATGAAAAGAACAATTGTCAATTATTTCCTGTTCAATGTGTGTACTCTAGTTTTTCGAACGGTGTGTACTTTTATCGAACTGCACAGGTAAGTATAACACTGAATTCAATTGTAATCAAGTTTATTTAATTAATGAAGTTCACTTTTAACCGCATTTCTGTCCTCATGTTTCAGGGAACTCGGTATTGCCTATTTCGTGATAGTGTTAACGGCGAGCTCATCTTTAACAATTAATCAATACCGCGCGTCCTTGAAGTGCCATAAAGAGAAACGATTGCCTCCGTCATGGGGTTTTGCCACACGATTGCACGCCATTGGCGGCGCAGTTAAAAATACGTTGTGTAATGTCATTTTTCAGCATGCTCGTCACTAAATGAGAATACTTTGAATATTTCTCTTTCGCCACGAAACTCGTTTCGCTCGGTCGTTAAAAATTCTCGCCGCTTGCCTGTCGTACGTTTATTTCAGTAAGCAAGATTCTAATAGTTATCATTACGAAATTCAATCGGAAATATTTGAAGTATATTTTTCCGCAACACAAAATTAATCGATCGTTTCTTATATTATCTTTAACAAAGCAAGACTTCGAATTACCAATTCCATGACCGTAGCCAGAATTCAATGACTTCATTACAGATACACTGATTACATGATACTCACATTATTTTCTCAAACAAAACTCATCTTGTTTACTACAAATGTAAGTAATCAACAGCATTAATCACTCTAATATTGGAACTCTAATAAACCCAAAACGTTTTCCTGTTTTAGGCAACAGCCACCGCCACTTACAAAAACATCCAAGAAATCTCTTAACGAAGAAGAAGAGTCCAGAACCATGAAAAACGAAGAATCACGGCTCAGCTGCGACGTCTGCGACAAACGTTTCAAAAAGGAGCATCTCTTAAGTCGTCATAAACTGATACACAACGGTCAGAAGGAGCAGGCGTCTTCCAGAGACTCGTTTCTGGAGCTAGTCTACCAGAAGCAAGAAGCACTGTCTTGCCAGAGCTGCGACTTCCGGTGCAACAAGAGGTCGACCATGATCGCCCACCTGGCCCAAAACCACGACGGTTCGGGTAAGAGCAAGTTCACCAGCAAAGGGAAGTTCGCGTGCATAATCTGCGGCTTGACCTCGCCGCGCAAGGAAACCTTGAAGTCCCACTTCGTGCGCAAGCACACGCAGCAGTACGAGTTCCCCTGCGAGCAGTGCGGCAAGAAGTTCAAGATCAAAGGTGACCTGACTACGCACACGAGACTGATCCACGAGGAACCGCCTGTGATCTGCGACGTGTGCGGGAAGACCTGTCGGAACAGCCACAGCCTGTACGCTCATCAGAAACACGCGCACTACAAAGCGAAGTTCGAGTGTCCCGTCTGTCACAGGCGACTGGTCAGCAAAGAGAACCTCGACCGACACGTCCTGATGCAGCACGAGAAGAAGGAGAAATACGTCTGCGAGGAATGCGGCAAGACGTTCTTCGAGAACTACGATTTTCGGAAGCACATGAGGATACACACCGGTGACAAGCCGTACAGGTGTACGGTCTGCGCCAGGGCCTTCACAACGCACAGCAGCCTGAGTCAGCACATGCTGCTGCACACCGGCGAGAGGGTTTACGTCTGCAACGTTTGCGGCAAGTCCTTCGCGCAGAAGGCCGGCCTCATTTGCCATAGGAAGATCCATTCGGGGACTCTGCCGCCGCTGCCCGTGAAACGCATCGATCACATCTTGAAGGAGCTCAAGAGCAAATAGGCTCGCTCGAGTTGGAGACCTCTTTTGCATTCGAACTGAGAATCGTGACTCAGAGTGAACGGAGTACACGAGCTCTGAATACGTTAAGACTCGAGACGTTTGTCGAGGATACGAGGTCCCGTTGGTGATTTGTCGTGATGCTCTAGCGTTCGTGAATGTCGTTCGTTGGGTCGATGGGCAAGAGATGTACCGTGGATGCACGCGCGAATGAATTTACCTTGTTTAATCAGTTGGGTAAGGTGATTGATTAACTGAAAGGTATTCATTTGTGCGTCCATGAAACTAACGTTACTTCTCTAACTGAGGATTTGATTAATGTTCGTTGAAGTACAAGATGCTCTGTTAAGTTCTTTGAGACTATTGAAAATGCGAGTCTCGTTGCGCGTGAAGAATTAATCAGATTAGAACACAGAAGTTTTTGAAGCGGTTGAGATTATTTAGAAATGAATGTTTTCCTTTGAAAAATTTTAATGAATGATATGATTATATTTCTTAGATATATGTTTCTTATTAATAATTCTTCAGTAGCCTTCAAGAGTCTATTTAATGAACTTACAAAAGCGTCGATACTTTCAATAATTTCTTAAAGAATGAGGATGAACAAAGCGATGAGAATACTCTGTGCAGGACAATAAAGGCCTTAATGTTCGAGGACATTATTGAAGCCAATCAAATCTCTATAAGGATAATGATTAATAAAGACTTGAAAACGCTCTCTCCGCGGGTCGACGAGAACCCAAAGGCTCAATTTCGTTGCGAGTGAAAGTTCATTATGTTCCTAACAGGAGTCGCTCACAATAAACTATTTTTACCCTCGATTTTCAGTATCTCAGCGATCTACCTGTAAACCGTGTAACATTCTCGCCACACGCAAATTAATAAAGTATTTTGTCCCCGTAAGCAAGCACGTACGATTCATAGTAGTAGACCCAGCACCGCTTCACCCCTAATATTTCGCTAAAGCCACAATCTCACGACTAATCCGGTATGATGGTGTCTCCTCCAGTTTCCAAATCTGCAAGAAAACTAAAAACAAAAGCACACACTCGTTTCCCCCTCGCTAACCAACCGCAAGCCTCTTTATCCCCGTTTCCGTGTCTCTCTAACAACAAGCCAACGATTTGACGAGGGCTCGCGCCGACCGAGAGACGGTTGCCGCCAGCACGTAAGACTATTAAGAAAAAAAAACCTCTAGCTCGGAAACCGATTTCGAGTTCCGCCGTTGTCGTTGTACTATCAATAACGTTCCCGATCGGTGCCTGTTTCAGGTACAGCCAAGATAGTCCCGATCCGCGTGGTATCTTTCTCTACGACAAGGAGTCGGTGGTGATGAAGAAATGGCAGATCCTGGAGTTCGACGGGAAACCGTACTACGCGTTCGTCCCTGAAGGAGACACGCCGTTGCTGGACGAAGAGATACCGGAGCAGATCGAGGAGTTGGTGGAGGCGGAAGAGGACAAGCAGAACTTGGTGAAGGTAGAGTGCCTGTACAACGAGGAGGAGCTGCAATATCATTCATCGGAGGAGAAGCTGTACGAGGACGAGGAGCATCTGCTGAACGGTATCGCCGAGCAAAGGGACGAAGAGGACGAAGACGTGAAGCCGATCATTCTAAACGGTTCCATCGAGGGTGAGAACGATAAGATCGGTGATTTGTATCAGGTCAAGGTTCAGGGTAGCATGGTGACCATAGAGAAACTGATGTCCACCGAGGTGGACGAGAAGAAGGTAGATTACCAACAGGACACCGAGGAGCAGGACATCTACACCGAGCAAGAGCAGCTGGAGCAGTTAGAGGAGGTCGAGGACGTCGAGGAAACAGACCAATTGGACCAAATAGAACAAGTGGAGTACCTGGAGGAGGAGATCCTGGAAGCCGCGAACAATCACGCGACGCCGACGAAGACTCGAAGAAAGATCTCGAGGAGCACGGGCGGAGCGCTCAAGTGCAAAGTTTGCTCCGAGATGTTCAGCTCGGCGATCTCGTTTCGCAAGCACGTGGCCTGGACGCACAAGAAGAAGGTGTGCATACAGGAGGACGGCGCGTACATTTGCGCCGTTTGCGACTACAGGACCCTGAAGAAGAGCCTCTTCGCGGCTCACTTGGAGAGGAAGCACGAAACTTGGTCCAGGAAGCGGCCGAACAATATGCTGTTCCCCTGCGCGACATGCGGCTTCGTGTGCAGGTCGAAGCATTCGTTGCAGTCCCACTTCATCAGGAAGCACACGGACCGGTACGAGCACCAATGTAAATTCTGCTCGAAGAAGTTCAAGGTGAAAGGGGACCTGACGAACCACGTGCGGTTCCATCACAAAGAGAAGCCGGTGAACTGCGACGTTTGCGGGAAACTCTGCCAGAACAGCGGCTCGCTGTACGTGCACCAGAAGTGGGCGCATTACAAGCCCAAGTACGAGTGTCACATATGCAAACGGCGTATGGTCACGCAGGAGAATCTTGATCAGCACCTGTTGACGCAGCACGAGAAGCGGGAGAAGATCGTGTGCGCGGAGTGCGGCAAGACGTTCACCAAGAAGGACTCGTTTAAGAGGCACATGGCGGTGCACACGGGATGCAAGCCGCATTCCTGCCTGATATGCAACAAGCCTTTCGCGAGGAGGTCCCAGCTGCGTCAGCATCTGTTGATCCACACCGGTAAAAGGCCGTTCGTCTGCGACATATGCGGGAAAGCCTTCACGCAGAAGCCCGGTCTGATCTGTCACAGGAAGACGCACCCGGGGCCGCACCCGCCGTTGCCGGTCATGCCGATCGCCGATATCGTCAAGGAGTTCACCGAAGGATACGTGCAGGAGATCAGCGCGCGCGAAAACGAGGAGAGGATCGAGGAAGAGACGTAGAACTACGGGTTTGATCGACGGGACCTCTCGCGCCCGTAATGTCTATTTAGGAAACGTTTTTCACGGAGGGAAGATGTTAAATTTTTAATCATCTCGTCGGATAGGAACGGATAGTTTCAATTTATTCGCATATCGATACGGTCGCTCGACTGTTTCCGGTACTGACGAGCGTGAAGCTCAATTTACCAGGTCTGAATTAATAATTACTGTCTACTCGTTGTTGAAGTATTGTTTTTGGCAATGAGAATTTGGAATATAATTCTACTTCGGAACTATTTACTGGATTTTTCTTTGATCGCTGGATTCGGTTGGCGCTCGTCGCTTGCCTTAACGAGTCGCATGTTGGCTAGGTAATTCTTCGATGATGATTGACCGTCTTCCATGGATTTCTTGTGAATCCTTATGTTTCGAGTTGTTTAGCAGCTGTCATCGAGGGAAACTTTTATCTTGATTCTTATTGATTTCGCATGGGGACCCAGATATCAGTGTTATGTTTATAGCAACATACGCGGGAGCACTGATTTATGATAATGTTATCACTGATGATGGTCCGACTAAACACTTAAAAAGTTATCAGTCGTTACGTGTAGTAATGACATTGAAGCGAGCGTTAATAAGCTTCTGAAAGTTTCCGTTAAATAACAATTCCGATAGAAATGGTAAGTGTTGCTACGGAGGACTTATTGGTTCACAACTACGATTGCAATTATTGTTGAGACAATTATTAATCGATATACGATCGAAAAGTTACCTAGCCAACAGATGGATATCATGTTAAATATAAAAGTTTAAACACGTTTCTTCGCAAGTACATAAATGAAACCGTCGAACCTGATATTCATCAGGAATTGGTTAAAAAAAGGCTTCAACAACAAGTAAGAATAATATCTCTGCTGATTTAACGGTTTGTCGAAAGATGAAGAGGTATTTTGAATAACGAAGGAGAACAGAATTCCAGGCCGATCAGACCATCAGAATCGAAAGATCGACAACGCGGAATAGCAAACAATAATTATTTTTAGACGTATTGCATATAATTGTAAGTATAGCGTTAAGGTGTACAATATAATAACAGCCTTGTAAATTTAAGACGTACAGATGAAGAAATATAATGTCCCTTCGAACTGTCCTTTCGACGAACGTACAAAGTCTACGAGCCAAGTTTAGTCTCAGATATATTAAAAAGAAAAGGTTTCATTGTTGACGAGAGTTCTAATTGATATTATATGAATGAACAAGTTCCCCGCGGCCACTGCAATCACCAGCGGTCGCGATCATTAACACTTTTCACTGAACAGAATTCCCGATGTACATCATTACGATTCATGTATCATAAAACGGCACCTCTATAAATATCGAATCTCTTCGAGTTGAAGTTCATTAATTAACACTCGCGAGATTCACGATAACGCGAAATTCAAGTGTTCCCTTTCATCGTTTTCTTTTCTTTCTTAAATTTCAGTGCAACCTGGTATCTCCCCGCTGAAATCGATTTTACTCCCCTCCGCCTTTTCTTTTTGTACGACGAAAAAAGTCGTATTATCGTCGATCAGTTTATTTATAAACGCGAAGAGCAACATCGTTATTGCTGTTCAATGAATTCTATTCTCCCTCATCAATTCATTGGTATTCGTACACTGTGATGAACGGGGTGATTTAAAGAATAAAATTTATAGATTTCAAGGCAGAGTTGAGTAAAAATTCGTTGATAGAACCCAACGCATCGAATTGTTGTTGCTCATTCATAATTACTTCACGGAGTATGGTCAAAGGAGAACTTTACAACTGGAATATCCAATGTATCGATTGTTTTTCAAAATACTGGTGAAATTCTTGCGAATTCTTCGATAATTTTCTTTTGGATCACTCTGTATCCCGGTAGTTGTTTTCTTCGCGAGTTAGTCCTTCCTAGGAATAACTGTACCATAACCTCAAGGCAGCCTCCCCCATGAAACAATGGAAAAAAAAGCTCACGTGGTTGGAAGCACGCCTACGACGGCTATTTTTCTAAAATCAATACCCTAGCGTAATACCTCCATAAAGACACGTACATGCTGTGTATAGCTTTGAGTTTGAAATAAATATTTTTACTGAGCTAGATCTTCTCAACTATCCCCCTCCGCCGCCCCCGACACGTTACCAATTACACTCTTCGTTAACGTTGAGGAAAAAAGGAAAAGTTGAATCTCCGTTGAGATCGATCGACTTCGAAACCAATAGTCGCGCAACGTCGTCGGGAGAAAACCGAGAATATTAGAGTGCCCAGATAAGTATGCTTGCTGTATTACACCCTCCCGTGGAAATAATAATTGATGACGTTTAATCATTTCCAGGCTACGAGTGTTTCGGATCGTTTAGAGCAACGTGAAGGTATGCTATGAATTAGAGTACTGACAGGACCATTATCTTAAACAGTTTTCATTCGCGTCGGGAATACACCCCGAGGACTCGCGTTTCTTCAATTATAGAAATATCTCGAAATCGATTAGCAATTATCCAATAACATGTATTTTATGTATCCACAGGATGAGTCACCTAACTTTACCACGTTGAACTCCAAACCATTAGTCGCATGAAAGAATGTTTCAAGTAAAAGTTGCGTGACATCAATCGGGTATCGTGTATATCTTGAGAAACTCAATTCGTATCCCACTGAAAGCTCAAAGCAGCAGAACACTATTCATAAAATTCAACAATGCAGCACGCAACATTCGAAGCATTCTTCCACAGAACAAGCGATCAACAAGTAATTCAAGGTGATAGACTTAGCCGACTCACCCCCTGCAGACGACTCTCTCCACCTTTAATCGCTAAGATTCCCCGTTCCCAGTCGGATCGATCGTAACCCGCGCCTAAATTGTGTGTTTTAGGATCCTGGACCCGCTAAGCGAGGAGTTCAAGACCGACTGCCCGATCCCCGGCGTGGAATACGTGGACTGGATCGACAAAGAGAACTTCGAGGTAGCTTCGTTGGGCCAGGACGCCGGGAACAACGGAGGGAAAAGCGACTCGGAATTGTGTTACTCGAACAGTCCGAATCGCCGCGCGAAGAAACGAGTAGCGGCGGCCTGGCTGGAGTGCGACCACTGTCGCCGGAAATTCTTGAAGAAGAGCAACCTCGCGGAACACCTGAAGAAGCACCGGCACAAGTGCGCGGACTGCCCGAAGACGTTCAGGTTGCGACGCTACTTGGCCGCCCACGTCGAGAAGATCCACCGCAGGCAGGTGTACGACTGCAGCGTGTGCGAGTACAAGAGCAACAACAAGGGGACCTTGAAGAATCACTACATCAGGCTGCACACGAGCAACTACAACTTCGCCTGCGACGTCTGCGGCAAGCAGTTCAAGATCAAGAAGGCCTTGAACCACCACGTCAAGCAGAACCACAGCGACGCGCCGCCGATAGTCTGCGACGTATGCGGCCATTTCAGCAAAAACCTCCACGCCCTGAAGGCGCACATGAAGTACAGGCACTACAAGCCGGAGTTCATCTGTCGGATCTGCCGGAGGGGCATGACCACCCAGGAGAATCTGGAGCAGCATCTGACTTGGCACGAGACCAGGGAGAAGGTGCTCTGCCCGACCTGCGGCAAGAGGTTTCGAGGCCGCGACCTTGACTCCCACATGAGGGTGCACACCGGAGTGAAGCCCTTTCCCTGTCCGGTCTGCGGGAAATCCTTCAGGAGGCAGACCGCTCAGGAGCAGCACGTTTTGATTCACACTGGAAAGAGACCGTACGTTTGCGACATTTGCGGGCAGGCTTTCGCGCAGAAGCCGGGGCTGATTTGTCATAGAAAGAGACATCCTGGACCACTGCCGCCTCTGCCTGTCGTGTCCATTAAGAACATCGTGACGGAGTTCACTAAGGAATATACTATGAAGAACACGATGATCAAGATCGAGTAGCTTCTTTCGTGTCAGGTTAGATGTCGAAAATGTTCGAGGGTCGTCGAAAGAAGGGCTGTGAGTTTTTGAAGAGGGTTGTCGGAATGATGGAGATTTCTGCTTCGTTTGATATCGTCGCTATAATCGTAGTTTCAGCGATTTTTTGGTCATGCTTCGCGAGCTAAATTATTGGGGCATTTGCATTTAAGGAGAATATTGTATAATACTGGTTAATGTTTCGTACTAATGTGGAAACCGTTTTTGGAGCATTATTCATCGTGGATGGTTCTCTTTGGCTTCGTATCTTAGAGACCGACGAAGTGTGTTTCCATGTGTTTACAGTTTCATGTAACGATCGAGAGCTTTTTTTATTAGAAGTGTAAGGTATCGTATGACACATGCAATGTGCATACAGCGTGGTATGCATCTTTTAGAATTTTTTACGCATCACGATATGGTCTTCTTGAGATTTTGTAAGTATTTCTACGATATGTGAATGTTTGTAAATCTACGAGTTCTAACAGTGTATCGATCTCTATTGATAACATGAAATTTTGAACGTTTTAAATATTTTTTACAAATATTGTTTGTACCTTCTATTGTATCATGAACTTTTTTAATAAAAGTACTATACGCATTAATATGCAATTTATAGTATATGTGAAACAACTTAAAATTTAACCCTACGTCTTCATGGCCACGTAAGGATCACGTAATAAGCATAATGAACTTGCGTTATATGAAGGTGTGAGATAAAAGAGATAAAGTACAATGTAATTTATGCGTGATTCATTAATATCACTGTAGTTCTCGCAACTATTATTCTTTCTACACACAGTATTCCCTCCCTACAGTCTTGTTTCGTAAGCATTACGATTACACTGTCACTGCCATGTTAGAACGGTAGCGAACAATAGGCAAGACTTGCTTCAGTCTATGTCGAAAGAGGGGGATACAAATGAGCAAGAGGAAGAGGCCAAGGCAGAAGCGAGTCACTGAATGAACCAATCGCATCATAGTATTCACTGCTCTCTGAAACCGCGTTAACACCAGGACTGGGCATTATCGAGACAAAGTTTATCCAAATACAGTTTCTATTTTATTTTTCATATTATCCAAGTAACGATCAATCATTAATTAATTTCATCGTGAACATCGTTCACTTTCATTACAAATGTACTATCGACATCTAGGTTTAAGCGTCATTTGGAAATAACCGAATAAACTTCTTCATTCTCCTCATCGGACTAATTATTCGTCTCCTCCGTTCGTCGCTTTCGCCTCAAATAAACTGCCCAACCCTGGTCTACACTAGTTTACGGGAAGGGAGTACTGTAACAACAAACACTCACACACAGTGTCGCTTCGCAATCTTAATCCCGATACCTAGAAACTCACTGCTCGATACCAATGAATTAATAAGCGCTCGAGAAATGTCCCTCCGCTAAAAATACTCCAAGTAAGTAAGCTCTTCATCTAGAACATCTCTCAGCCGAAAAGTCACGTGTTAACCGAACCGAATTCCATCTGTTTTAGTTACCAGGCCGTGAACCCCTTGGCCGACGCGAGGATCATGGAGCGCCGTCGCGACGTCAGAACTGTGAGCACATCCTCTTTAACCAGTCACCATTTACATAAATCACAATGAGAACTTAATAAGAAACGTTCATTTCATATCCCCCAATCCCAATCCGAAGGATTCCGACACGGCCAGGCCCAAGAAGATCAGGCCAAAGACTCCAAAGGCTAAACCTATGTTCCTGGAGTGCGACCATTGCGGCAAGCAATTCGACCGGAAGACGCCGTTGATACTGCACATAAAAGAGCACGTGAACCAGTGCAGGTTCTGCGACCAGGGCTTCCAAAAGGCGAAGGACCTGAGGGTGCACGTTCTCGAGCAACACGGGCCGCTGGTCTACCCGTGCCACATGTGCGAGTTCAAGAGCACGAACAAGTGGATACTGAAGGACCACATCATCCGCAGGCACACCACCAGCTACCCTTACACCTGTACAGTTTGCCAGAAGAAGTTCAAGCTGAAGAACGACCTGAAGCAGCACACCAACCAAATGCACAGCGACGCGCCGGCAGTGATATGCTCGGTTTGCGGTCACTCTTACAAAAGCGTGCCCGCGCTTAGGCGTCACATGAGGTACAGCCACAACAAACATCCGTTCGAGTGCAGTATATGCAAACGCTGCCTGTCCACTCAAGAGAGTCTGGAGCAGCACCTGTTGTGGCACAAGGAAAGGGAGAGGGTGGTTTGCCCGACTTGCGGGAAGATACTTAGAGGACGCACCATCGAGGGACACATGCGGGTGCACACCGGTCTGAAGCCTTTCGCGTGCCCCATTTGCGGAAGGTCTTTCACGAGGCAGACCGCCATGGAGCAGCATGTTCTCATTCACACCGGGAAGAGGCCGTACATCTGCGATGTTTGCGGACAAGCTTTCGCGCAGAAGCCGGGGCTGATCTGCCACAGGAAGAGACACCCTGGACCGCTACCACCTTTGCCCGTTGTGTCCGTCAAGAACATCGTGATGGAGTTCACCAGGGACTATAACATGAAGAACACGAACATTGATATCGAGTAAATTGTGTGGTGGGATCGGTAGATCTGCGAGAGTTCAGGTCGGGAGAATTTGATTTTTCGAAAGCTAAAGGGATTGAATTGTGATTAATAAAGGACAGTTTGTTCTTGAGACGTTCGCCACCAGCGTCACAGATTCGTGACGGCAGCAGTGTTGTATTTTATGTAAAGACGATTCAATTATTTCTATAAATATTGTTATTTAAAGTTAGCTACGGCATTATATTTGGGAACTCAGTGACTCGTTTCAGTTTCGTTTCTTCAAGGTTTTGTTTAGATTTGTTGAGTCGAATAGAATATTACAACTGCGAAGGTCGTCGCCGAAATGAACGCTGGTAGTGAACGTGTTAATGCAATTTTTTACTCACGACGTAGTATTTTTTTTATTGACTTAGCGATGTGTTAATGAGAATAACTTCGCCTTTTTACTTTATGAAAATTTAATTCTGGTTTTAATGTGAACGATTCTTAATGCTTTCGGAATTTGTAATTTTTATGAATGGTGCACGTTTTAACGTAATGGGTCGTTGTGCAGATCAGGGAACGTACATTGTAAAATACTAACCGAGAAATTCATTATTGTAATTTTGATACTTCAGTGCAATTCTTATTCCCAGTGCGTAGAGATTATTAAGTTTAATTAATGTCTTCGAAGGTTGTGTAATTAATATGTTATATTAATAGTATAAATGTACATGAAAGAATTTTACTCTCTTGGAAGACCTATCAACTTTGGAAATCGAAGGACAGGGTGCTTGTGGGGATGATTTTTTAAACTGTGAAATCGGTGAATTTTTGAGTACACGTATTTATTCGTCACACATTGGTAAATGTATTTAAAAGATACTAGCGAAAAATATACCTGTTTCCTGAAGTACAAAAGGGAAGAGTACGAGTTTTAGTGAAGTAATTTACTCCTTAATTATTCTTATCAGATTCTATTTTTTATTGGCACATGCTATGCTATTTAATTTTGTACTTAGCCTCTCAAATACGGAAACCTATAAACAGTAACGCTAATAAAAATTTCGCCTGAGAAGTTTAATACGCACAATACATTCTGTCACCTTTAATCACTACCCCATTTTTCCTGATGATTATATATTTTCATGCTATCTTAAATATACCACACCTCAATATTCCCAATGTTCCGATCGCAATATTCAGAGCCCCACTGTGTCGAACACAAAACACATAAAAGTTCCTGAAACAATCTGCTAAAGTACCTCAAGTAAGTAAGCTATGTATCTACAACAGTACCTCAGTCAGAAATATCACGTATTAACAACATCGAACTTGATCTGTTTTAGCTCGCCGGCGGTGGATCCCCTAAAGGACGTCAACACAGCTGACGGACTCAATTCAGTGAAGATCAGGAACACCTATGCTTCCACGAACTACATCAGACCACCTAAAAAACGAACAGGTAGACCGATATCCACAAAAAATAATTCCTGTTCCCGAACCTCTAAACCAAGAGTGACGAAACGCAAGACATCAGTATCGCCGAAGCCAGCGGAACCGAAGGCGGCAACGATGAGATCCATCGAGCCTTTGGAATGCGATCATTGTGGCAAAGAGTTCTACCGCAAAGCTCACTTGGTGATGCACATGAAGACGTACAAGCACCAATGCAACTCCTGCGATCGACTTTTCCGGCTGAAGAAAGATTTAAGCGTACACGTCAAAGAGAAACATGGACCAACGCAGATGGCGACGTACCCTTGCTCCCTCTGCGAGTACAAGAGCACCAACAAAGGTACCTTGAAGGACCACATAATTCGCAAACACACGAGCAGTTACCCTTACGCGTGTACAGTTTGCCAGAAGAAGTTCAAGCTGAAGAACGACCTGAAGCAACACACGAATCAGATGCACAACAATGCTCCAGCCGTGATATGTTCCGTTTGCGGTCATCCTTACAAGAGTATCCAAGCCCTGAAGCATCATATCAGGTACAGCCACAACAAACATCCCTTTGAGTGCAGCATATGCAAGCGTTGCCTGTCCACCGAGGAGAGTTTGAATCAACACATACTTCGCCACAAACAGAGGGAAAGGGTGGTGTGCCCGACGTGCGGGAAGATACTCAGGGGACGCACCATCGAGGGGCACATGCGGGTGCACACAGGGTTGAAGCCTTTTTCGTGTCCGGTTTGCGGGAAATCCTTCTCGAGGCAAACAGCCATGGAGCAACATCTTCTAATTCACACTGGAAAGAGACCGTACATTTGTGATATTTGCGGGCAAGCTTTCGCGCAGAAGCCGGGCTTGATTTGTCACAGGAAGAGACACCCTGGACCGCTGCCCCCTCTGGCTGCGGTTTCCGTAAAGAACATCGTGATGGAGTTTACCAAGGAGTACAATATGAAGAATGCGACTGTTAATAGCGAGTAACTCCAGTGGGTGCATTGGAATTGATCTGTTCTTTTTTAAAACAAGGTTCAACGCGATCGTTACGAAAATGTGATACTGATAGTGAATACGTTACGAGAGTTGCCGAGTTTTTGTACTCTACTCGTTTTAGAACGAAAAGTTGCGTGCAACTACGTAGGAGGGTGTCGCCGCTGAAACATGGGGGAGAGACAGTTTCTGTAATGTTTTATTTAAAAAAAGACGTACTTTAAATATCGGTCTAATAATGTGCGTGTTTATTAATACTTCGCCGATGGAGTGACCCTACTCGAGAGATACGGGGGTCAACACCGTGTATCTGCGAACTCTGAGAACCGAGGGATACAGTAGTTTTCAAAATTTCATTTCAAAATTTTTCAATTCTAAAGTTTATATATTTGTTTTTATACACTCGAGAATGTACGAAAGAAGTAATAAAGATATATACGTTTTCTTTAAAGGACCGGATGAAGAATATGATTTCTGTCGATGTATCATTCAGTCCTTGATCGTTGCTCTCAGAATCCTTTTCAAAATTGAATTTCAACAGTATCTGAAAGCAGCAAGAACACATTGCTTCTTCTGTAATGAAAATTAGATTTATTTGGTGAAACGCCGAACTGTTTCGGTACAAAGTAATTAACCGCGACACTTAGATCCTCACTGCTAAAGTAGTGTCAAGTAAGTAAACTTCACCTAAAACAGCACACGTCCAACGACCCAAACGCCACATCTTAACGATCCCGAATTCCATCTGTTTTAGTTCGCCAGTGGATCCCTTGAAGGACGTCAACGCCACGGAAGAATTCTACGCCATCAGAATCGAGTCCGTGTTCACCTTGGCGGACCAGCAGAAGCTGTCCGAGAATCAGGCGCAGGAAAGAATGATAACCGATTTGAATAATTTCATGGTCCCGGAACCTCAAGAGCCGAGGGACCAAATAGCGGATGCGTCGGAGCCGACGAAAATACACGCGAACAGCGGATCGTTGCAGTGCGACCGTTGCGGCAAACAGTTCTACCGCAAGGCGCACCTAGTGTTGCACATGAAATCCTACAAGCATCAATGCGTCGTCTGCGACGAGATGTTCCGACTGAAGCAGGACTTGAGGTTACACGCCAAAGAGAAGCACGGCCGGAACGATCACTCGAAGATGCACCAGTGTGTCCAATGCGACTACAAGACGCCAACGAAGGCGACGCTAAGGGATCACATCATCCGACAGCACACCTCGAACTTCGACTTCAAGTGTACGTTCTGCAGCAAGAAGTTCAACGTGAGGTACGACATGAGGCAGCACATGAAGCAAGTGCACGGCGAAACGCCGGCCATCAAGTGTTCCATGTGCAGCAATTCCTACAAGAATCTTCCGGCTCTTCAGAACCACATCAAGAGCACCCACGAGAAGTACCCTTACGAGTGTAAGCTGTGCAAACGTTGTTTGTCGACGCAGGAGAGTTTGGAGCAGCACATGCGCTGGCACGAGGAGAAGAAGAGCGAGAGCGTGACTTGCCCGATATGCAAGAAGGTCCTCCGAGGGCGTACGCTGGCGGCCCACATGCGAATGCACGCCGAGGAGAAGCCCTACATGTGCCCAGTTTGCGGCAAGTGCTTTCGGAGGATGAGTCCCATGGAGCGGCACGTCGTCATTCACACCGGGAAAAAGCCGTACGCTTGCGACGTTTGCGGGCAGAGGTTTGCGCAAAGGCCGGGGCTGCTGGCACACAGGAGGCGACATCCTGGGCCACTGCCCCCTCTGCCGGTAGTGTCGATTAAGAGCATAGTCAAGGAGTTCACCCAGGATATTGGGAAGAACGAAACCATTGAAATCGATTGATCCCTTCGCTGACGCGCACTCGTACCTCCAAGACTTTTCATTTTCACAGCTTTCGGCTGGAACGTTTATCTGCTTAACGCGTTCGCCACCAGCGTTTGTTGCAGTGGCGATCCTCTTAATTCTAATGTTTTATTCAATTCAATGAATCTTGTGAACAAACTGTTGAAACAAATGAAACTGAAACGAATCGGTGAATCCCTGAATGTGATTTCGTAGCTTATAACTTTGACTAACTATATCTATAGCATTAATTTAATTTTCTTTACATGAAGTGTCACAAGTATGAGACACTTGTAGCGCACGTGTTAAGGGGACGGCGCCATTGATTGGAAGAAAGGAACGGAAGTAATGATTTATGCGACTGAAGAATGAGTATGGACATCTGGTAGCATACTCGCGTTTGTTACATTGTTGGGAGTTTCAGTTTGAATTTGAATTTAACGTTTAGATAATAATTTATTGGGTTCTTTTTGTAATTGATCACACATGAGGTATGTGCATAATATATACGTATATTATATTTTGTGACAGTTTCAGTTTTTTTAAAGTTGACTCTTTATAAGACTTCAGATTTGAGGAATACCGTTTTTTTAATACTTTGTTAACTAATCACGTCAGCGGATCAGGCTGTTGATTGTAATTTCAGTTGTAAATTTGTTTGTTAGTTGTATAGGATTAAGACAACGTTTGAAATTTTATTTCAAAAATACGATTCTACGGTCAGATTGTAGAATCGATGGATTTTCGATTTGTCTTTTTATGTGCTCGCAAATGTATCATGTAAGAAATAAAATATAAGTATCTACTGCAGAGCAGCACGGACAGTATTAGTTGTTAGTAAATAATTTACTCCTTCTCTGACTATCTGAATGCTCAAAACATCCAATAATATTTGGTTTTGTATTACGTAGAATATAATTTAATTTAAGTTTTTTGTACAGTATTTAAAACCAAGTAAAAACTGTGAAACTTATACATATACAGACACATTCCATTAAACGGATCATAAGAGTAAAAGTATTTATACGTTAACACGTTAAATGTTAGACTTTCCGTTTATGCTACGTTATCAAATATATTACGAAACACCATTCCAGCCTTTGTTCTTTGTAATGATTTATTTATACTCAGGTTTATTTATTGAGGAGTAATGTGGTGCGAACGGAAAGTGAACTGAAATAGATTCGGCAGTTAACGTGTTAAGAATTATTCTGTAATCACAATTCGTATATTCGTCTAATAAATAATATAGAATAAGGTTTTCTGTTCATCGTGAATCATTAGAAATATTTTACATTCAATACAGACTGAATAATCTGTAAGTAATACCTCAGTTCTCTCTATAATTACATGTAATCATGAAACTTGTTCCTTGTTATTCCCAACTACGATTACGCAACGTTCCAATCGCGATAGCTAGAACCTCGTCGTTCAGTAAACACAAAAAAACCTAAACGTTCCTGAAACAATCTGCTATATTATTCCAAGTAAGTAAGCTTTACCTCTACAACCACGCCTCATGACAGAAACATCGCATTTTAACGAGGCCGAATTTGGTCTGTTTTAGCTCCGCATCGGTGGATCCGTTGAACGATCCTCTAAAAGACCAGAGCGTCGCAGGCGGCCTTCGCAAAAGCAAAACGAAACACGCGAAAACCTTAACGAACCGTATCGAGTCAACCAGAAATCCCAAAAAAGGAATAACCAACAGAAGAACCCGTCCTCCACGAAAGTCGGCAGCGAAAGACGCAAAAGACAAAATGGCGGCGGCGGCGGCGGCGCCGCCCAACAAAGTCGCTCTGAAATCACCAAAGGCGAAACCCAGCGAACCATTGGAATGCGATCACTGTGGCAAGCAATTTTACCGGAAGACGCACCTGGTGATCCACATGAGAACGTACAAACATCAATGCAAGTCCTGCGATCAGATGTTCCGTCTAAGGAAAGAATTGAAGTCGCACGTGAAAGAGAAGCACGGGCCAGTGATGTATCCGTGTGCTATCTGCGAATATAAAAGCACAAATAAATGGACGTTGAAAGACCACGTGATCCGCAAACACACGACCAGCTACCAGTACACCTGTACAATCTGTCAAAAGAAGTTCAAGCTGAAGAACGACTTGAAGCAACACACCAATCAGATGCACAACGACGCGCCGCCAATCATTTGCACCGTTTGCGGCCACGCCTCGAAAAGTGTCCCAGCTCTGAAAGCGCACATGAGGTACAGACACTGCAAGCCCGCATTCGAGTGCAGCATATGCAAACGTTGTTTGTCCACGCAGAACAGTTTGGACCAGCACCTGCTTTGGCACGAGAAGAAAGAGAAAGTGGTGTGCCCCACCTGCGGGAAGACTTTCGGGCAGAAAAGAGACCTCGAGATTCATTTGAGGATTCACGAGGGCATCAGACCGTATTCTTGTCCATTCTGCAGCAAGACTTTCCCTAGGAGGAACGCTCAGGAGCAACACATGCTGATACACACCGGGATGAGACCGTACACCTGCGACATATGCGGACAAGCCTTCGCTCAGAAGCCGGGCTTGATTTGTCACAGGAAGAGACATCCTGGACCACTGCCGCCGTTGCCTGTGATCTCCGTTAAGAAGCTCATCATGGACTATACTCAGGGGTTGAACGAAGTGTCCAAGGTTGACCATGGCGAAACGAAGGAGGACAAGGAAGAGGATAGAGATCGAGTTCGCGAGAAGGAGGACAGAGTGATTTGAAGCTAGCTATCTTGGGGATTGTTTTTTCTATTGTTTTGCAGGGAGACGACCGTGAAGCGAGTGCAATATTATTTACATTGCAAAATTTTATATAGGTGGTAAATAGAGGAATAGGTAATTTCGTGTAGGTGAAAACTTGGATAATAGCAGAGAGACTGGATTTGAAAGCTATATTCTTAATACTTGAACGATCGTGTGTCGCTTAAGGTGATTTTTCTATGAGACTATGGACTTTCCCGTTTAGAGATGAACAATGAATATTTTTGAATATTTAGGAAGTATCTATGGAATGGTAACGATAAAGAAGGAAACTTTTGAATGGTCTTTCAAGTGTTAAGATTAGAATTTACTTTGGTACGCGTATTCTTGTCAGTGATGATAGACAATAATGAGTGAGCAATTTAGAGTCTTGAAGAAACGATACTGCGATGGCTCGGTTTTCTTATTTTGTTTCTTCCGACGTTGCATTTGTAGCGTGATTCGCGTAATTGTGAATAAATATTTCCTCGAAAAGTGTGCAATGATTTCGTGGTCGAGTTAATGTGTTTCAGACTTTTACCTGAGAAGCTTGACTGCGCTTAGCTACTCCATTGAGTCTTACTATTCTAAAATAGAACGTTCAATTAAAAAGTGACGAAAACCGTTACAACGTGTATGTACTTTTTGTACGGCAGTGTAGGTTAATTCCATTAGCGAAGACTAAAAGTATTCGGAGCATGTTGTTTCGAATGAATGGAGAATATCGAAAAGCGATTTTCTTATCGTTAATCAGCTGGATTGTTGACGTTTACGAAGGCTCAAAATGCTTTCTAAGTTTTATACGGAATTTTGAAAACTTGTCTAGATTGGAGTAATTGATGAGATCTAATAAAATGATTAAGTATGGTGTTGATATTTTGTACTCATTTGTACAGATATATCGCGTGTGTATTTCAAAAGTAATTAAGAAAGAACGAACGCTATGAGAAATTGTAACTAACTTGAATATAATAAAGAAATTATACTTTTGAACCGACGATATCAAATCTTGAAATCACATCTCTGTATGCGATAAAGAGTGAGCAAAAGAAGAACTACATTTTGTTTTGTTATTTAAGAATTTGATTTCGCGAAAATGAATAATATTGATATTGAGAAAGTAATTCTTATTAAACGGATGATTCAACTGATATGATTAAAACCTTGTATCAAATAATCCCTGTAATCCCATTTCAAATATTTATCTACGCATCATCAAATATTGGTACGTATTCAGTATTAATCACGCGGGAAAGGTCTGTCGAAATTCTCTAAACAATAAAGTGACAAACAAAATTTCAACTTTTCACTGTACAAGCCAATTCGTAAAAATACAAACTATTCTAACAATCAGTAACCAAAATTATATTTCAAAGACAGAACTCCCCCACAAGTCTAACCTAACATAACATCTAGACTGCGGATGTTATACGCATAAAACGTTATCATCATTTACATTATTCAAACTATCATTGATTACCATACTCTATAATAACTCCAGAAGAGAAGACATAAATTCTCATTCGAAAACTTTCAGTTAACCGAAGCATTTGCAGTCTATCAGTGAATTATAAAAATCACATAAACACGCGTATCCATTTCTCCCATAATTACTGAAACCTCATTGCCTCCGGTGTTTCAGGATCAGAAGACCCACCTCCCGAGCGATCCACGAGTGCGTCAAGTGCGGAGCCTGTTTCTGCCACACGAGAAAGCTCGTCGAGCACCTAAAGAACTTGCACGGCATCGACAAAGCGTTCAGCTGCGACGAATGCGGTAAAACGTTCAGGAGTCCGATGAACATAGCGCGTCACAAGCTGATCCACACGGGCTCGAAACGGTTCGCTTGTGACTTATGCGACTACAGATCCAACCAGAAATCGAATCTCGAGAGCCATCGCAAGCGACACACGAAGGAGTACGCTTTCGAGTGCGAGGAATGTCAAAAAGGCTTCTTCGTGAAGACGGAATACTTGGAGCACATGAACGTTCACACCAGAAAACAATTGTACCCGTGCGAACACTGTGGCAAGTCTTACCCCTACAAGAAGAACCTGCTGGCTCACGTGAGGAGCCACCACACGAACGTTTCGACCGGCGAATCGGCGAACAATGCCAACTGGAGGCACATTTGCAAGGTTTGCTTGGAAGGCTTCGCTCAAAAGCTGCTGCTCGTCCGGCACTTGAAGATACAGCACGGGCTGTGCGAGAGGAGGAATTTCCTGTGCGACCTTTGCGGCACGGTGCTGTCTTCGAATCGCAGGCTAATGACGCACAGGCGCAGCCACGCGAACGAGAAGGTCGCCATGTGCAACTTGTGCGGCAAGGAATTCGCTAGCAAAGAGAATCTTAGTATTCATCAGCGTATACACACTGGCGTCAAGCCATACGTGTGCACGCAATGCGGAAGGGGGTTCACGCAGAGGACGTCCTTGATGCTGCATCTCAGGTACCATTCCGGAGAACGGACGTACCAGTGCACCGATTGCGGGAAGGGCTTCGTTTCTCGCAGCTTCCTGAAGAAGCATCGAAAGGTCCACGAGAAATCGCAGCCCGAGACTTAGTGAAATTACACTGATTAATGGCAACATTACCATTGAAGTGAACTTTGCGGCTGTAAGGTCTGGCGTCTGTAGAGATGTCTGAATAAAAATTCTTTTGGAAAAAATTGTTGTTTTCTATTCGAGGACGAGTATTCTTTGGAGAGTGATAGGTGAAATGAATGGGAGGATGATTGGGAAGTGCTGGAATTGAAAGTAAAGTTGGAGACCGTTTTTTTAGATCTTAGGATATTTTCTTTGCGTGTTGGTGTTGTTAATAAAGACATTGTGTGGTATTTTGTTTATGTTCCTGAATCTTATTAGATCCTATTTATATCGAATGGATTGGCATATTTTTAGCGATTATGGGATGACTGTGATTTCCTTAAACGAAGTTTATGAGACACTGTATCCATTCGCATTTACAAAAGCATCGATAGTTTCTTCCTCGTGCTTTCAGCAGGAAGCTTTGTACGACGATAGAATATTTCTTTACGATTCCCCCAAAGCATTCATGATGCTTTTTGTAAATGTGTATCGTTATCAATGAAGGATCCCTCATTCCAGCCACTGGATCACTGATCACGACGAGCTCGCGGATTGCGACGAATTCAGAATCAAGAGCGTAGATGTTCTTCTGGATCCAGAGCAGAAGTGAGTTTTCCACAGAATTTTATCAAATATTTCTCAGAAGCTTACGTATCTTCTAGTCTTCCAGTTTCGTGTTCGTTTCTCGTAACTCACAATTGAATGTTAGAATATTTAATAACTTCGTAAGCACCGCGTGTACAAATATTCAGTGCGTCAATCGTAACGAAACTATTAAATTCTCCTTTCATCGCGATAATAATTGTTGAAACAACTATTCGAATAACAATCTAATCCCAGCGAATATTAAGACGATCGGCCAAGGTCCACGATTATTCGAAACTTTCCAGGTTCGAGGGTAACGAGAAAGTGTGCGATCTTTGCCAAGAGAAGTTTCACTTCGTGACCAGACTGGTAGCCCATTTGAGGATCGTTCACGGCATCCACAGGCCTTTCAAGTGTATCACCTGCGGGAAAACGTACCCGCAGCAGTTCATGCTGAACGCGCACGTGAAAAAGTCCCACACGCCGAAGACAACCCCTTGCGGCCAGTGCAGTTTCATGGGGGTGAACGCGACGGACGTGGACAGGCACGCGAAGCGGCATCACCGCGAGGTGAAGTTCACCTGCGAAATCTGCAGCGAGAATTTCATCGACAAAGACTCGCTGATGACGCACACGGCCATGCACAACTTTATGCAGTATCAACAGTGCAACGCTTGCGGTAGCACGTTCAATGACGTGTACAGGTATTGCTCTTTGGATTCAGTGAAACTCGATTACGATAATACTCTGTCGAAAGTGAATGTAGTCTTCATTTCCGACAAAGCGTTATCAAGGAAACTTAAACACCATCTTTCGAAGATGTGAAATATTTAAATAAATGAGATTCTAAGGTACACGCGTGAAAAGCTTCAACTATCATATGGTTCTCGAATAAATATTATATTACGTTACTCGAACGTGAAAATATTTATTTAAGAGTTACACGATTCTAGTTTTCTCTATCTAATTCTCTATTCTCGATACTCTATCTAAAATGAAAGATGACATTGACACAGTTTGAAGGAGCACAACCGACTCTACCACTACGACCCGGCAGCCATGATCCAAGAGAAGCTGGACGAAGGTGGCCAGCAGTCCTCCATGCACAAGTGCGACGTTTGCGGTAAGGTTTACAAATATAAATCCGTGCTGAAGCAGCACAAGGTAAAAGCTCACGGCGATACGCCGAATTACGAAAGGCGCCGTTACCTGTGCGCCCTTTGTGGCAAGGAGCTGAAGACAGCGAAAGGCTTGGAGATCCACAATCGGTCGCACACGGGCGAGAAACCGTACACTTGCGAAGTGTGCGGCAAGTGTTTCGCCTGCGAGACACTGCTCAGGACGCATAACGTAACGCACACAGGGGAACGGAAATATTCGTGTGATCAATGCGGCAAGGCGTTCACTCAGAGATCCACTTTGGTGGTGCACAAACGCTATCACACCGGTGAACGGCCGTACGTTTGTCCGCGGTGTGGTAAGGGCTTTGTGACGAGGACTGTTCTGAACACTCACATGAAATCGTGTCGCTGAGAACGATGCAACAGTCGTTAGCGTTTAACCGTGGGTCATATCGTCTTGGGAGAACCATATTTGTGGTATTTCCTCACATTTTGTACATTTTTGTGTATAAAAATTGCAATATTGGGGGAACTCGAAGTCAATTGAATAAAATTGTTTAGTGTACGTACTGGTTTATTTTTGGAAACGTCATGTTTAGATGTAACATGCATCGATTTTACGTGTATTACTGTAGATCTCGTGGATGTTGCAATTTCTATATAGGGAAATACAAATTGTGATCCACTTTAAAAAGATTGCAGATGAACTTGTTATCCATCCGAGATGGATTGATCGCTCAAGCGATGAAGCCGATCGCTTTAGGGAAGGCAGCTTTCGTTGTTAATTTCTGTGTATAGGAAATTTAGCTGTCTCACGAAGTGAAGATTACGAATACTTTTACATTGTTAGGATTTCTTGGCGAAATTTTGCGGAACGTAAAGGAATTTGTAGTTTTTTAATGAGCTCGTTGATTTAAGTAGCAGCTTTTGCAACGCCGTCCTTAATTTTAATGTTCGGGTACTGGTTTCTACAACGCCTCCTTAGGTCTAAGGATACCATTGTACTCTTTTATAAACGTAGAGAATAATTTTCAGTGTATTTCGTTAGCTCCGATATTTCAGCTTATAAAGCTCTTCGCTTAAAAGCAGGTTTCTTCAGTTTTAAGTCGACTGGACTTTAAGGAATCGCAAGAATATCAAATTCCCCGACGGACCGTTTGGGAAATTAAATATTCAATGCATATAAAGTCAGGTACTGATTGTTCTTTAATCGGGTACATATTTTACGGATAATATTAATAGATTAATGTGATAAATCTGACGGATCAGATTTCTTACTTTTTTATACGCCGTTTTTTATACCCTTTTTATACGTATACATATACATAACGTTAGAATTAATATTTTCGAAACTGAATACTCATCGAAGACTGTGTCTTGCAATTGACGAAGCGAACAACAATTTTTACAAAACCCAGGGATAGTATTAAACAGAACAGCTTTTAGATGATTATTTTAAGGCTCTTCTGGATATTTATACAAACTGTTGTTGTGGAGCTATTTTATAACGCTGTATTTATTATCGCAAAAATAATGTCAACGATTTTATATCAAATAAAAGAAGTAATTCCTCGATCCTATGGATTCATTATATTTTTTCAAGAAATCAACGTTGCTAACAGGAGCAAGTGTACCCCTTCTTTTGAAAAAATACTTTATTTCGTATAAAATACTTCACAAAGAATATAAAGGGTTCAAATTATAAAAGTAAACGTGTACAATTAAGAATCAATGATACCACCAATGGTACAGTGCGAATATCATTTTTATTTTTTGGCCGTAATTTCGAGTGGGACGGGTACCAGTGGTAGACGGCCAAGAAGGTCCACAAGACACGTCAGTAAAACACCAAAACCGAGGCGGTATCTTCGATACGGAAATCTATTCCTTGCTCGGCCATTTTGTGATCGTAATGGTAATTGATGTCGTTCAAAATGGCACGATTCCGGGTATTAACGTTGCGAGGCTTCACGTGAATTGTTCGAAAACCTGTGCACAGATTATCAAAAGAACGAAACAGCAGATCATTTTTTAATTACGGTACCGTCTAATATCTCCCACTTACGAGTCTTGCTCTCAGCTTGAAGCTGACAGATGTCCCGCAAAGTATCGAGACTTCTTATTATACCGTCGTATTGTAGTCTTGTTAAATGCTTGCAGTGCACCAACATGCAGATCAGCAGGTCGTCCAGCATTTCTCGATTGTTTCTCAATTGCAGCATTACTTCTGCTATAGTTGCGTATAAAAACATGTTTCACTCTTATAATAAAAACCGTATAAATATTCAACGCACTCTATTAGAAAGAAATGCTAAATTATTTATCGATGCACCTTGTGATATTCGTGTTTTAAAATTAGATTTTTCTAAAGTATCGACCAAGCCCTGACGAGGGTAAGAGTGTTTCTCAACAACGACATTGGCCGAGGTCGTGTGACTCTACTCTTACTTTTATTTCCGTTTCTTTGCACAATTCAGTCTCTTCTTTTTATCTCATTAGTTGCTCTATTGTGCGGCGCATTGTGGAAATCATGTCGAGAAACACTCCAAGGTAACGAACGATGCAGCTATTCGCTATATAGGTACCTAGCGTGTTGGTGTAATGAGAAATAAGCAATCCAACGGTGCTTCTGAAGTTACGAGATCTGCTTTGATCCCACACGTGTCCGCTGAACATTTGAAACCTGGCCAAAGGCACACTGGGCAGCAGCAAATAGCACATATCCTCGTAATGGGATATGTTAACTAGAAATCAAACTTGAGAAGCTAAATGACGTATCGAAAAATATTCTTTGATTTCATTGCTACGTGCAAATATGATCTCAGATATACTGTGACCGCGAAACTGCGATTACAGTTTCGCGTGGTCATAAAGATTAGCAAAAGTAACGCAAAAGCAATCTCTGCGAAGCGTACAATAATCATTTCGTCCTATAGAAGGATAGATTGAGGAGAATTCAGAGGATTACTTTTACGCCACCCTGTATTACTCTGTACCTATAGTATAAGAGACCGTCAGGTCAGGGCAAACAACGGCCAAATTGTGCCAAGCTGTGTCCGCGATCGTGTGCTGCCTGGAATCAGAGTCCCGCACAGATATGTGTAGAGTTTTCAGCAGCTTTGGCGCAGCGTTCGCTAAAGCGTTCAGAGTTTGATCCGATAGTGCCGGATAATCGAGCCGGAGAGTATTTAACGCGCGAAACCGGCTGAGCAGCCGCAAATATCTGAAAGTTTATTTTACGGAAAGAGGAGTGCATTCATTAGCCATTAAATTCTAAAAATATTCTACCAAGGATCTCTTCCAGCATTTCAACGCCATTTTGCTTCATCTAATAGCATAGTTTCTTAATATTATCACGAATATTGTAAGCGTACAGTGAACGGGGACATTCAATTACTAAGTTATTTAACCTAAATTCACTACCGCACCTGGAATTGCTGTGAGGTGCTTGCCATTCTCGAAATGCGCCACGAAGGTCTAAGTATGCCAGATGTTCGCTAGAACCCCTGGTAGCGCTCGCTAGAAGCCGCAGCACGTCGCTCACGCCGAGATTCGCGTTCAGCAAACTCAACGTTTCCAAGTTGTGCTGACAGCTGTGTAATCGTATCGATTACGCGGGACATTAGCAATTAAAGCTAACTAATCAAGTTAAAGGGGATCTCCAACGCGTAATATACATTTCCGGACGGTAGTTTACATCTTTTCATAAGAGAATGATAGAAAACGATCTACAATGTCTTCATCGATCTTTTCTCCCTTAACCCTGATCGGACCACGATGTGACTTTGAATCACATTTAAACTTTTTACTTAAATTTTTTGATTATCTCATATTGCATTTCCAACAGTTCTTTTAGGCTTTTAAAGTTTGGGTCCTATAAACAAAAACAATAACAGTTTAATCATTCTTTTTATTCTCATAAGTGACTGAGAATCGCGGTATGATTCGTTATAGAAACACGTGGTACGATTAGGGTTAAAATCGAAGGATACAGAAGATGCAGACGATTTACCCTAAAAAGTTCGCAAGCGCGTAGAGCAGCTTCCCTCTGTTCCCCCATTTGCAACTGAAGATCCAGTCGGTGAGTATCAGTTTTTTCAGTTGGACGTTCTTGGCTCTGATGACCGTCAGGAAATCGGCGCCGGCTTCAGCTTGAATGTTACGAGTGATGCGCGCTTCTCTCGGTAGAATGTACGGTCGTGACCAAGCGAGCTCTAGAACGCGCATATGCTGACCATACTTCGCCTAAAAGAATCATGAAACTTCGTTTAATCGCGTAGAAAAGGTGTCGAACACGGAAACGAAGGTTCTCCTTGCTGAATGTTTGAGAAAAGTTCAACGTAGGTATGAAAGAAAAATGTTTAGATGTATCTTTTGGTTTATACGTGTTACGCACGGCTAGTTCTCCCGCCAATGGAAAGTCACCCCGCAGATCACGATCGATGAGGATCGTCACGGAACGCCAAAGAACTGGCGACGAAAGAGCACGGTCCCATGATCGACAAATTTGTGCAACGTTGGCACGATCCTCACGACCGAGGTGACCAAATATCTGTGTCAGTATCAGCTCCGGCAGCTGATCCCACATCTCCCAGTTTCAGCTTGGCCCGTCTTCATCTCTACGTGGCTAAGGTAGCTGTCGCAACCTCGTTCAGCTTTCCTTGACAGGTTCATCGATATCGAGCCGATCGTCATTCAAAGCTGAACTGCACGAATTCACGCGGAACAATAACCATGAAGTAATCTCGGTTGAACTTTTTATTATTATCGAATTTCAATTGCTTCGCGAGTGTGAACTTTCAAAAGTTACTTTGAGAATACGAAGTCTCGTAAAGTAAGATTTTATTGTATTTTTTCGTATTATTTTCGTTATGCATCGTTCATCCTTTCCTAGATTGTATCACGTTTTTAAGAAAAATCACGTGTAGATGTAATGACGATCTAAATTGATATTCACTTCGTTCTAACAGTTTGAGAGCCCAAATCTTATCTAATCTGAACTATTTCTGTTGGTAAAATGATTTAGAGTTCTAACCATTCCAATCGTGTAATCGTTTAACCATATAATCTTTTCCCGAATCAATATTTTATCCGATGGGATATATCATCTTAGTCAAAATCAACTGCGCGAACAAGTTGGCGGGCGAACAGACGAAAATCCACGTCCGCCAGAAATTGTTCTGGCAATCATTTAAATTTCTGACAGAGCAGTGCTTACAAAAGTTAAATATATATTAGATATTATTAACACAACTGTCAAAGACAATTATATGACCCCTTATGTATATATACTATATTTTACGAGAGTATACGTATGTATAAAGAAACACAAGATGTTTACGTAGTTCTAAGTAAAAGGCTAGATAAAAATATGTCTCTCAAGCTCACAGAAAAGACTCAGGAAAAATTGAGTTGAGGATAGGATTCGAATTCAAAATTACAAAGGAGATGAAACATATTTAAATTTCTTGGTTTTCTTGTTTCGCAATTATTGATATCTTCGAAGCATTGAATACTCGAAATGAGTTTTAAAATAAATAGTTTCACTTTAATACTATAACGAATGTCTGAAGAAACTGAGAATAATCTTTTGTCACAATTTTTATAAGGATTACATATCAATCGTATTAACCCTTTGCTCTCAGTCAGGGATGAAAAAGCTTTGTTTCTCAATTTACTTATGATTTCTCTTTAAGTGAATTTCAAAAAATATCATCTTCGTCTAATTAGAAAATGTTAAGTATTTGTAACGAAACATTCATACAGTAAAACCATAAAATTTGATATTTAATATTATACCTTGCATAACTCGTCAATTTAAAAAATATTGAAATAAAATAGAAAATGTTAACCCTCTGTAGGCCCATATAACTTTCAAGTCACACATCAATATATTGGCATCTTGTTGATTTATTTTGCAAAGTGGTAAATAAAATTAAGTAATCAGCTAACTCAAACTACACGCTCAGACGTGATAGTTCAACGTCATCGTAACTCGAAAGTTGCAAAACATATTCGTTCAATGAAATTATTGAAACTACTGAATACATTAATTCGTGTTCATACTTCGATATTTATTAATTTCATTCACTAATAATCATTCACAAAAATTCAATAATTAAAATATTTCTAGTGAAAAACTTCCGAGCGTAAAGGGTTAAACCTTTGAACTCTGTAGGCTCCAATATTGCACCAGTTATAATATTAAATATTCTAATGAATCAAAGAAACTACCCTAAAATTATTAGATTTCCTATTATTAATTATTAGATTTTCATTAAAACATCGAAGGAATGTTATAGCATTTTTCATTTTCGCTAGAGACACCATAAAAATTAGTCGCAGTTGCTGATAGATTACAAAACCATCTGGACTGTTAAGGGTTAATTACGGAAAATCTACGATACCGACATTTCGAGAACTCGTTAATTGTAACGGTTCCCACGGTCCGGGAAAGAGGTCGCCGCGGAAGCCTAGAAATTGCGTATATAGGGTTTAGAGTCAGTACGCGGAGTGCGTTCGGTGCATCTGCACTAAGCGAGTGTGTGGAAATCGGAGGAATTTATACACGCGCAATGTCAAGGACTAAACTGACCACGGATCACAGTAGCCGTCGCACGACGATATCGTGCTCCTCTTAGGAAACAAATACGGCGTCGAATAATTACATAACCGCCTGATCTAGGTCTTTGACCCTGAATCTAGACTGTCCACGTGCCGCATCAGCGCGCAGGGAACGCACGAGATCACGATGTAACGTGAACAAACGTTGATGCTCGTTGCCAATTATTCTCTCGGGAATATTACAAGCATCGATGAAAAGTCGCCGCTGGTTGGTGCTGCCAAAACGAAAGAATGAAGGAAGAGGAGAATAAGGTGTTGGACGAGGAACAGTGGAAGCTCGAAGCTCAGGCTGTCATCAATGACGTGAAACAACATGTAACGGATATCAAGCTGTCGGAGGTATTGCGAAGCACGAATCAGTTCATCTATTTGAATCTGACGACATTGGAGGGTCTGAAGTTCTGCGTAGAGCTGTCGGGCGCTGGATTCACCATCGTCGGTAACCAGCACGACGACAAATCGAACGTTGGAAACCAACGTTTTGAAACGCCCTATAGTTTATTAGACTCCGTCAGCCCCCAGTACCGAAACTCCTTTGGCAATTGTCTTCTCGACAAACTGCAGAAACTGAGCGACGAACAGTGAGCAAGCTTTCAACGGTACTCGTTAACTGGTTGTTCTGACTTTCTTCTCGACGTCAACAAAGTCTACGGATGTCATTTGAAACTCTGAACGTGCAAAACGAGAAATAACCGTGATCTCGAATTCGTTGTCTATATAATTAGCTGTTCGGATCGATGGGAGTTGAAGATCTTTTTTTTTAAGTTTCCATGTGCTGTGACGTAAACTGATCATGGTAGGGAAATTGTCTTGATCCGATCGAAGTTTATATGCACGCAGTTTCCTCTGAGTTGACGGATGTGGTCGTTGGCAAATAAATCTTGTGACAAATGAAATGCGTAGTTTTATGTAGTGATAGGTAATTATAAGACGTTAACGGAAACATGGTTCGACAGATTTTAGGAAGCCTTTGTGATAGAAGGGCCTTATAAATGCTTTTCTGAGCGATGAATTTAGTGATCTCAAATTGTATTTCGTTAATTGCGTATCAAGAAATTGTTCGCCGTTGCGATAGTTATAGAAACTCGTTTACCCCTCGAGTCATACTATCGCATTGGAAATAATATTTTTCTCATACTCGACGATCCTTTGTTCAAAATATCGCGTCGCAAAAGACATTTCGAATTTACCCGGTTCCGTGTCCGATAGATACGACAGTGGAATACCGACGAATCGCAGGCTACTAGAAAATATCCCTAGGAATCGAAAGATCAGTCGGTGCAAGTGGTAATATCGATTGTGTTTACCCCCTCTTCTGCGTTCGTTGCTCCATGCCCCGTTTGGCGTATTCCACTGTCCAGTTGTGAAGTAACGAAGCGGTTTCGGCGAATGTGTCGCATCGTGTGCGCGTTTCATTGTGTTTCTGAATGAGTTTATCATCGATCAAGTGCGTGAGAACGACACATTACACCGCGGAGGTTAACGTTGCAGTGCTTAGTGCGACGATGTCGAATGGTGAGCGATGACACGCCCGTAAAAAACGATAACGACGGTGATCCTTTGATTGACTAGAAACGTCCGACGGAACGGCGTAACGCGAAAGGACACCTGATTTGTGAATTTTTGTGACATTAACACCAAATGAAACATGCTTCAACCACGAGCCCCGTGCCTCCGGCGGTAACGAAGGTAAAGTGTCACCGAATGTTTCTATAAATTGATCACCAGAACACGGTGGAGATGTCTTGACAGATCGTTTGTTTTTATTCATCGCCCACACCCCGCTTCGCGATATTAACACGCGAGGGGTGGGACAATCGGTTCCTGCACTTCCTTTGAACCGATATAATTGCCAGCGATATCGTACGTATCGAGACAAGTCGCGATAGTAACGTAATATCGCGAGTTGCTGAATATCTTTCGTCGTTCATCGCGCGATATGTGTACACGCGTATTTAAAATTCTCCTGTTGACGCTTCCCCGTTTTTTTCATTTTGTTTTAGCGCGAAAACGTGTTTTCGTTTAGATCGATTTTATTGGCTCGAAGACGCGGCGTTTTACGGGGATTCCTTTGCTTTCTGTATACTTTTAATTGAACGGAGCGCCGTTGTTATTTTCATTGCAAATACAAAGTTTACATAAGAAGAGTAGCAAACCGGAATTTGTGTCATTCAGTTCCAAAGGTCTTAGGTATTTTCCTGCGTGCATGCGTTTGCATTCATTACTTCTCTTTGTCGGTATCGCTAATTTAGAAAAAATGTATGACCCGAAGAACGCGCTACTAAATGAACTTGTTGTTAGGTCGAGAAGAGCAGTTTTGGAAAATGATAATTCAGTACTGAATTGAATGGTATACAATTATAACGATCTCAGTTGTTATTAATTTTTGTATATTTATTGTGGA